TCTAATCACGAAGTACCGGAAAATTGTTCCAAGATGGTTGTCCCTAGGGTAAACGGTGAGATTTGGAGCCAGTTGAACACCCATCGCCGCACTAGTGACTTACGGCTTAACAATATGCAGAAAAATCTTTTGAGAGCCACATGCGCTGTTCTTAGCATGTGCGACAAAGCTCTAGTGCTCAACATACCAAAAGCTGAGCAAAAGCAAATCATGGCTGATGGGGTGGACACAATTGGGCTCTTAAGCCATGTGTTCTCCGACCTCACTGGCCTGCGAAAGGAACAGATGAAACCTGCATTAAAATCGGAGTTCCATTCACTGTGCACAAAGGAGATGGAAGAGCCCCACTCTTTATTATTCGGTGACGATCTGGCGAAGCAGATCAGAGACGCAAAGGAGGCGACTCGCATAGGCGTCACGGTCAATTTCAATATTGACTTTACCAGCATTAGAAATAGATTTCAAAATAACTGTCAGATTTTCAAGGCCGGAAACCTTGYCCATTATCTAAGTTGTTGGAAAGGCTTTACTTCCGACAAGGATATTTTGAGTTGCGTCGCTGGTTTAAGAATAGATTTTACCGCCAAACCACAACAACAGAGAATTTACGTGCCAAGCTTTAGTGCTAGTGAACAATTAGCGATCGACAACGAATTAACGAAATAGACATCAGCCCACCGGGCACGACCCTGAGGAAATCATATCACCCATCTTTGTCAGACCTAAAAAAGATGGAAGCCACCGGCTTATCCTTAACCTAAAACGACTAAACATGTTTTCGCCGAAGGTGCATTTTAAAATGGACACTCTGCATACAGTTTTAAAGCTAGTACAGCGTAACTGTTATAAGGCCTCTATTGACTTAAAAGACGCATACTACTCTGTCAGAGTTGCAAAAACCGACAGGAAATACCTTAGATTCCTGTGGAACGATAAGCTCTATCAGTATACTTGCATGCCTAATGGCTTATCGTGTGCACCACGTAAATTTACAAAATTGCTAAAAGCCCCACTGGCTAAGTTACATTGCATGGGGCATGTTGTACTAGGTTATATTGATGATTTTTATCTGCAAGGCAACAGCTACTATGAATGTCTGAATAATGTTATCGATACTTGCAATATTCTCGACTCTCTCGGGTTTTACATTCACCCAGAAAAGTCAGTCTTTCAGCCTAGTCAACAGTTAGTGTTTCTAGGTTTCAACATTAACTCCGYCACCATGTCAATAACCCTCACGGGAGAAAAGGCAAACAAATTAGAATCCCTTTGCATTTCCTTACGTAAGACCACGCAGCCGACTGTGCGTAACACAGCACAAGTAATAGGGACTATAATTTCGTCCTTTCCTGGCTCAAGATTCGGGCCTCTTTATTTCCGCGCTCTCGAAAGAGATAAAACAAAGGCCCTTAAGGTTAACAAAGGGGATTTTGACAGTCGTATGACACTCTCGGCCGACGCGCTAATTGAACTAGACTGGTGGATTAACAACATTTCGACATGCTATGGCCTCATAACAATACCAGACCCGGATTGCACCCTTACAACCGATGCAAGTAATAAAGGTTGGGGCGCGRTCTATGGGGATGAATCTACCGGCGGACTCTGGACATCAGAGGARAAAACACATCACATAAATTATCTGGAACTTTTAGCTGTCTATTTAGGAATGCAAACATTCCTTATCACCCTCAAAAGCCAACATGTCAGGCTTATGATAGACAACAGCACGGCGGTCGCAGTGATTAATAATATGGCCACAAGCCATTCTAGAAAATTAAACACGCTTTGCAAATCTTTGTGGGAATGGGCCATWTCAAGGGATTTATGGCTAAGTGCAGCGCATATCGCGGGTAAACTCAACACGAGGGCGGATTTCGAATCTCGAGACACCCGCTCACCTCATGAGTGGAAATTAGACCCAGTTAAGTTACACGAGGCACTAAGCGACCTTGAGGTCATGCCAAAAATCGACTTATTTGCGTCACGCATAAACACGCAATTTCCCACATATGTTTCATATAGACCGGACCCCGGAGCGTTTGCCATCGATGCGTTATCGTTATCATGGTCTAACTTAGAGTTTTATGCCTTTCCTCCTTTTAGTGTAGTTCCTCACGTCTTGAAGAAAATTCAAGAGGACGAGGHCTCAGGAATACTGGTGGTTCCGGATTGGCCAACTCAGGCCTGGTACCCGTCAGMTATGAAGCTCCTAACACGACCACCAGTATCTCTGAAGCCCCACAAGACACTACTGACACTTCCGCACGAACCGCAGAAAATCCACCCACTGTGGGCAAAGCTAAACCTGCTGGTTTGCCCCTTGTCAGGGAAAGTCTCAGCGGACTAGGTTTGTCGTCAGAGGCACGTGACATTGTCATGGCATCGTGGCGGACATCCACGCGCAGACAATACAACACTTACCTAACGCGATGGGAGGAGTACTGTAAAGAGCGCGACCTAGCCTCGCTTCAGTCAACCATTTATCATGGTATTGAATTTTTAGTTCATCTTTACAAAAAGGGGCTCGGATATAGTGCTATTAATACCGCTAGATCTGCACTCTCATCTGTTATTACCCTTGATAACGGGACTTTTGGCACCCAACCGCTAGTAGCACGATTCATGAAGGGTATTTACGAGATGAAACCATCCCTCYCGAGATATACCTCGACGTGGGATGTGGGAATAGTATTAAAACACTTAAAAGACATGGGCCCTGATTCTTCTTTGTCACTCAAACAACTTACTCTAAAACTGACGTCACTGTTATGCCTATTGACGGGTCAAAGATGTCAAACGTTGAGTAAACTTGACACGCTATATATGCATAAACGTACCGATCGGTACATTTTCACTATCAATGAAATTATCAAAACATCTAAACCGGGACGACACATAGCGCCAATAGAACTATTAGAATATACAGTTGACAGACAACTCTGTGTTGTTAGCCTTATAACCATGTACTTGGAGAAAACCAAGGTAAAACGGAAGCCGCACTACACAAAACTACTTATAAGCTATGCAAAACCACACAAGCCTGTTACCAGTGCCACGATCGGGAAATGGCTGAAATCAATGATGGCGGAATCGGGTATTGACACAAYGATTTTCTCCGCACATAGTGGGCGTTCAGCTTCCACTTCGTATGGGAAGTCAGCGGGAGTACCCCTTAAAGACATTATGAAGGCGGCTGGCTGGTCGAACGCCCAGACGTTTGCCAAATATTATGATAAAACAACCACAGAACCTTATAATCTCGGCGCCACTATATTAGATCAATTCAGGATTAACAATAACAGTTAAAACATAT